AACAACTCCCCCTCCGCTCAGTACTCTCCCTGTCATATTTGGGCTCCATAATTCGCTGCAATGTCTTACAGAACTCATGAACTGTACATACAATTATGGGGTTTATTAGGGAAGTAACAGGTTACAATGCAGGATCAGGATCAACTTGGAAGTATCAGGGACAATTCAGGAGACTATTCCTCAATCAGGACAGCTTCTTGGCCCACTGGCGCGGGACCCTACTCCTTGCTGTTCATGGTGCTGCTGCTCTCGTCACACCATCTCGTGTGGTCTTCAGTGTTCCAGCCCCTTCTCTCTCTTCATGTCACTCTCTCAAACCTCTGTCAGGGAAGCTGGAAGCTCCTTATCAATTTCAAGGCATGCCCCTGCCCACAAGATGACAAACTAACCAAACCCCTGCAATGATTCCATGCACCTTATTTGCATTAGCAAAAACTGTCCAATCCCTTTGGTGAGCCACAAGCACTCTATTTGCATAGTCCCACCCAACTGTTTTGTGGGAGTTATACAGCCATGGGTTGTTGTTGTTGTTGTTGTTATGTGCCGTCGAGTCGGCCCCGACTCATAGCGACCCCTCCTTGGGTTTCTGAGGCAGTATCACTGGGTAGAAGAGCCATATAATAGTAATTCACTGCCAAATGGGATCAGACAATATGTGTTCTTGTGTGACTGGCTTGTTTCACTTAGTAATGTTTTCTAAGTTCAGCCATGTTGTAACATACATCAATACTTCATTTCTTTTTATGAGTAAATAAAATGTTATTGTATGGATAGACCACATTTTGTTTACCCATTCATGTGTTAATAGACATTCGGATGTTTCCACTTTTTGACTATGGTGCTGCTATGAGCAGTTGTGTATAAGTTTTTGTGTGGACATGTTTTCAGTTGCTCTGGGTGTATAACCAGGAGTGGAATTGTTGGGCTGTATGGAAAATCTGTTTGTAACCTTTTGTCTGTATTGATTTCCATCCTGCTGATTTTTACCTAGCTTTATGTTCTGACCATTTTCCCATGTCACTAAGTATTCTCCAAAAACATGATTTTAAATGGTTATATTATTATCCTAGGAGTGTGCCACAATTTTTTTTAACCATTTTCCTGTTTGGGAACCTTTGCATTGTTTTTAAGTTCAAAGAAAATTCTCACACATACAGCTTCTACATCTCCCATTTCTTTAAATTTCTAGATGTCAAATTACTGACTAAAAGGACATGGCATTTGATGGCACGCATCTGGTGATTTCCAGACATGTATTTATTCTCTCAGTGATGGCTTCAGTGTGGTTAGCCTGCCTGTGCCCAGTGATGCATGTTTTTTTATCGAGCACTATACAATGGGAGTCTGTAGGTTTTTTTTCCTCATCCTGAGTATTTTTATGCATTTTATTTAAATGATCTATATCTGTGATGTGAACAACCAATTCTTTCTAGTGAATATGTACACAGACTTTCCCAGAGACACCTAAATTGAGGGGGATGTGCATCAACTACATGGTGTAAAATCTTCTTATGTCAGATTTACTTTTACAATTTACAGTTAATGATTTTGGACTTTTATGTTTGCCTCTACCAAACAAAAAAACCCAAACCCACTGCCATCAAGTTGATTCCAACTCATAGCCACCCTCATTGGGTTTCCAAGGGTGTAAATCTTTATACAGAAGTAGGTTGCCTCCTCTTCCTCCCATGGAGCAGCTGGTGGGCTTGAACTGCCAACCTCAGGTTAGCAGCTGTGGTGTGGTAAATTACTTAGTATGGCTTTTCTACCCATAAGTCTTTGTAAACTCCAAGGTGGGATTTTCTATGAGCAACTGAGGAGCTCCTAATTGCTGAAGCTATCCACCTGGGTTATTTCTGTTGGGCGTGGCACAATATAATGTTCTGGGAGGTTCCCACTCTCTCTCATGTGCTTAGAGTTCTGATGCTGTGA